CAACCAACAAGGAAACAATCAGAACTTCCAGAGACGCTACCGCCGCAACTCCCTGGATAGCTCCTCCCACAGTAACCATGACAACAACCAGCAGTATGACGGAGGCAAAAATGGTCACCAGGGGCGGCCGCGGCAAAGGCAAGGGATGTCACCAAGAGGAGGGGAGAGGGGAGGAAGGGGAGGTGGAGGAAGCAGAGACAGAGATGGGGGGTTCTACTATAATCAGCGCCTGCACCATCAGTACCACCCTCACCCCTACTTCAACCCCCAAAATGGACCATTCCAGCCAGGACTCCCCAACTACCACAGCCTGCCCCGCCCTGGAGCCCCTCCCCTTACACCCGACATACTCTTGGGGGTAGGGCCACCACCGGTTGCATGGGGCTTCACCACCCCACCTCGGATGAGACGGCAGTTTAGTGCACCGGACCTCAAAAACAACAAGGAAACTCCGATCTGAGGCCCGCCACACGGAAGCCTCCGATTGGCTGCAGGATGCACGGGGATCCTCATGCTGTAGAAAAGAGAGAGAGAGAGAGAGAGAGAGTGTGTGTGTGTGTGTGTGTGTGTGTGTGTGTGTTTGTGTTTCAGCACTTTTACCGAACAGTCTGTTTCACACCCAAAAGTAACATCACACACATCTAGAGTCTGTCCTGCTGTGTTTGTGTGTGAGTATGTGTGTGTGTCATTGCACAGGTGAGCTGTTGCCACAGCAACACAGTTTTAGGGGTTTTATCTCTGCGCTGCTGGTGGTCAGCTGGGATCTGGGTTTTAATCGTTGATTTATTTTAATCTGCTGGTTCTTAACAAAGCGTCTGTTGCTGTTAGCTAAAACCCCCAAATAAGGCTGGTTCAAAATCATGTTTAGTTCATTTGCAGGATGATGATAGCCAGTGAGCTTTAGCTCTGTTAGCATGTTACCTTTGGTCCATTAGCCGGTTAGCTTTGGCTCTGTTAACATGTTATCTTTGGCCCATTAGCTAGTCACCTTTGGCTCCATTAGCTAGTCACCGTTGGCTCCATTAGCATGCTACCATTGGCCCATTAGCCAGTCACCGTTGGCTCTGTTAGCATGTTGTCTTTGGTCCATTTATCGGTTAACTTGGGTTTCGCTAGCATGTTAGCTTGAGCTCTGTCTCTTCCCACAGTCATAAATGTAAGATCTGAAAAAGTCTTCAGATAATTTTTTGAAGAAGTTTTGTAATATTTGGTGTTTCCGGCACCCTGGAGGCACCTGAAGGAACAGCATAGTCACTGTTGGAAATTCAGTTTGTTTAAGTTTTATTTTGAAATAATTTTCTCCTGGGTGCTTCCTGAACAAACATGTCCTGGAGGCTGGGATTTCTTATTTCTTTTGAACGCTGCAATGCTAAGTGCTTTAAACCAAAGAGAGCTGCTCTGCAGCGCCTCCTGCAGGCACTTGGAGGACGAGGCGTGTGAGTGAAACGTTGCACCTGAGACGAGTGTGTCGTGTTCTGAACTGTGTGTATATTTGAGGTGTTTCTGAATTTTAAAACATGAAATATGTTGATGGTGTGTTCACTGTCACAGGCAATCATAGGAAATGTGAGTGATGGAGTCATTAGAATATGCATTTGTTTTAGAGATGGGGATGATGGAAGAAGGGGAATCTGGTTGATGTAGGGCTGTGGAGGAGAGTATTCTGGGAGATGTAGTGAGCTTCGGAAGGCCGCGAGAGGACAGTGAGTTCTTAAAGAATCTGAGAGGAGATGAATGTGTTACTGACGCTACATGTTTAGAGCAATGCATCCTGGGAGATGAGTTCCTAGGTGCTCTGACTGACATGTTTTCATTCTACATGGCTGGACCCAACCAGACAACGAGAGCGCTGCTTTGTGCTGGGACGGCGTCGCCTACCATGACAAAACATAATAATTGATTTTGATTGGATTGGGCAGTATGACATCAGTCACATTTAATTTCTGCTGACCAATCACAGGACAATCCTGAAAGCTGCTGGGGCTGATGGGAAACAAAGTTTCCTCTTTGTGCTTTTTAACAGTTATTTTCTTCTTTGTTGTTTTCTCCAGTTTGGGCTTCTGATTGGTTGTTTGTGTACTTGTGGGAATTTCAGCCCCTCCTGCTTCAGAATTCGGTTTATGATGTCATCATTTATATTAATATAATTATAATAAAGTTTTTGTCTATGAAATTTGTTTTTTTGGATGCTGCTAAAGCAAGCTTCTTTTCTGTTGTGTAACGTGCGTGTGTGTGTTCATGCGTGCATGTGTGTGTATGTTATTTGTTTAATTTAGCATCATAACCTAAAGCCTGTTTTACTTTATAAAGCTGACTTTTTTCTTTTTACGATGTGTTTTTGTTGTTGTGGAGGAGATGCATCCTAAAGGGTTGTCATGGTGACCTGATTTCAGTACCCCTCCCCCCCCACTTTAGTTCGCCTCTGCTCCAGTGAACCCCTAGAATCTGTGACATCACAGCATGAGTGCCCCTCCAGGACTGGAGCAGCAACATGGACAGGATGACATCATGACATAAACCTTCCTCTTGACCCAGAGGTCCTGGGTTTTTGTTGTTGTGTGTCATTTCAGGAACCAATCTCAGGCACTGCTTACAGACAACGTGATGGCAATAAAGTGTAAGAATCAAAAAGTCATCCTGGTCTTTCTTACTGCACTATGGTGGCTCAGAGAGGACAATCCTCTCACCACATCAAAACCTGAAGTCTCATGGTCTGCAGACCTTAGTGATCTGCCTGGTGTGTGGCAGACTAATGGGCTCGACACACGGGAGGCGACATCGCCTCTCCATTCATTTTCAATGAGACTTGCGCGACAAAGCAATAATCGCGGGCATGTGAAATTTTGCGCTCGTGCACGTTTTGTGCACAGGCGGCCCAGCGACTCATCCCAGAAAGTTGAAATATTTTCTACTTTCCATCGTTGTCGCTCGGACGACGACCAATCAATGGAGGTTTCATTCACTGTGGGCGGGCAGGATGCTCCGTACATCACTAAGTCGATGTTCTCTCATGTTTGTGTGAACCTTCTCATCTTTTGGGTTACCAGGGTGAGAAGATGGACAAATAGCTCTGGGCTGAGGCGATAGTAGGTCCGGAATTGATCAGGATCGTCCTTGAGGTCCCTCATTAAATGATGGTATTCTTCGTTTCTTTCTCTGGTTTGTAATATGGGATGAACCCATTCTCTGTTTTCTTTAATATAAAGTAAAATCAGAAGTAAGATTTCACATAACTCTAGCAGCACCTTGTGAAACATCATATCTACCGCTTTTAAAACTCTGAACTGCTTAAATAACCTTAATTCCCTCCAACCTGACGCAGCCAATCAAAACAATGGAAGATTTGATTTCGCCATGGAACCGAACGCGTCGACGGCTTTGCCGCTGGCCGCGAGTCGCCCCCTGTGTGACAGGTAATAAAAGCGACAGCGACGAATTTCGCTGATAGTGGTCGTTTGTCGCCTACCGTGTATCGAGCCCATAACGTCTGTCATGTATTGTCATAAAATAACTGTTTTCCAGATCAGTGCTCTCTTCACCACGACAGACCGGTACAACGCCCGCATCACTGCAGATGCACTACCAATCCACCTATCAATCTCACGCTCCATCTTCCCCTCACTCGTGAACAAGACCCCGAGATACTTGGGACAGGACCTCATCCCTGACCTGGAGAAGGCATTCTACCCTTTTCCGACTCAAGACCATGGTCTCAGATTTAAAGGAGCTGATTCTCATCCCAGCTGCTTCACACTCAGCTGTGAACCGCTCCAATGAGAGATCAGGTTCTGATGAAGTCAAGAGGACCACATCATCTGTATAAAGCTGAGACTCAATCTTCAGGCCACCAAAATGAGTCTCAACACCTTGGCTGCACCTAAAAATCCTGTCCATACAGGTTATGAACAGATTCTGTGACAAAAGGCAGTTCGCTGACTCCAACTCTCACCGAAAATGAGCCCGACTTGCTGCTGGCATTACGGACCAAGCTCTGACACTGGTCATAAAGGGACCTAACAGCCCGCATCAGAAGGCCTGGTACCCCATACTCACCATAGAGGAGGAAGAGTAGCGGCCCCAGCACAGAGCCTTGTGGGACACCATGGACGAGGGAGGTGGTAGAAGACCTAAACTTGAAATTATAGAGCTGGTCCAGTGTTCCACGGCCAGGACAAAAACCACATTGCTCCTCTTGAATCAGAGGTTTGACAATCCTATGGACCCTCCTCTCCAGAACCTTGAATAGACCTTACCAGGGAGGCGCAGTAGTGGGATCCCCCTGTAGTTGGAACACAGCCTGCGGCCCCACCACCCGGGTCTGCCAGTCTAGTGGAACTACCCCCGATGTCCACCCGATACTGCAGAGCCACATTACCCAACACAGCCCTACAACATCCAGAGCCTTAAGGAACTCTGGGTGGATCTCATCCTCCCCCAGAGCCTTGCCGCCAAGGAGCTTTTTGACCATCTCCGTGACCTCAGCACCAGAGATTGGAGAGCCCAACCCAATGTCCTCTGACTCTGTTTTCTCACTGGAAGACGTGTCGGTGGGATTGAGGAGGTCTTTGAAGCACTCTGCCCACTGATCTACAACATCCTGAGTAGAGGTCAGCAGCACACGTCCCCACTATAAACAGTGTTTGTAGTGCACTGCTTTCCCCTCCTGAGTCGCCGCATGGTGGACCAGAATCTCCTCGACGCCGTACAGAAGTCTTGCTCAATGGTCTCATTGAACTCCTCCCACACTCGGGTTTTTGCCTCTGCAACCACCCTAGCTGCATTCTACTTGGTCTGCTGGTACCCAGCTTCTGCCTCTGGAGTTCCACAGGCCAAAAAAACTTGATAGGACTCTTTCTTCAACTTGGCGCCATCCATAACCGCCGGTGGCCACCAGCAGGTTTGGGGACCATAACAAGGGCCGACGACCGTATGGCCACAGTGCCAATCGGCCGCCTCAACAGTGGAAGCGCGGAACATGACCCACTCAGACTCAATGTCCCCCGCCTCCCCCAGAACATTTTGGAAGTTCTATGGGAGGTGGGAATTGAAACTTCTTCTGACAGAAGACTCCACCAGACATTCTCAGCAGACCCTCGCGATATCTTTGGGCCTGCCTGGTCTGACCGGCATCCTCCCCCCCCCCCCATTGAAGCCAACTCACTACCAGGTAGTGGTCAGTTGACAGCTCTGCCCCTCCCTTCACCTGAGTGTCCAAGACATACGGCCGCAGATCAGATGAAACAACAACAAAGTCAATCATAGAGCTGTGGCCTAAGGTATCCTGGTGCCAAGCGCACATATGTCTGAAATGGCAAATGACCTGTATTTGATAAAGTGCCTTCTAGAGTCCTGAAACCCCCCAAGGAGCTTTACAACACAATCAGTCATTCACCCGTTCAGACGCACATCCACACCCTGGTGGTGATGAGCTAAATTGTAGTCACAGCTGCTCTGGAGCCCACTGACAGAGGCAAGTCAGCTGGACACAGGTGCCACTGGTCCCTCCGAACACCACCAGTAGGCGACAGACTGAGCAGGGCTTGAACCTCCAACCTTCCGGTTATGGGGCAAGCACTTAACTCCTGTGCCACCACCTGACATCTGAATCATCTGAACATTAATTCTGAACCATAAAATGTGAAATCCCATAAAAATATGAAATATCGATCTGATGGATCTTTGGATATTTTAAAACAGAAGATTGGAACTTTTTATTGCAGAGATTATTTAACACTTCGTATTAACTCAAAGAGAAGAGAGAGAGTCAGGTTTAAAGATTTAAGAAGATTTATTTCTACACAATTTAAACAAGACTACTAACTCTAAACACTCTCTGTAATGATGGATCTAGGTGAATGAGATGTGATGGATGGTGTGTGTGTAAGTGATGTTGTTATCAGAACTCTCATATCTGGAGAGGCAGGTCTGAGTGGGAGTGATGTTTCGCTCTAAACTATAATTGGAGATTCATAACCACATTAAAACGCCATTCTGTCTGTCTACGCACCCTCTCGAGAACCTCCATTGTAGGTCCAGAATGTCAATGAACCAAAGCTCATAGAAACAACCGTGGTCCGACCAGACTGTCCTCGAAATGTCCTCAGGTCACGACAGGTTATTATAGCGTCCGAGACCCTGAAGAGGTCAGTGAGTTCAGCTTTTATTCTGAAGGAAACTGTTGCACTCAGGTGTAGAGTGCAACAGCTCATTAGCCAGCTTGTCAAGGTTCTTGTGGTTAAAAAGTTACGAGTGGCCGGCTCGAAACTCTACAACGTTTGAACTGAACTAAGATGGCGTGGGAAGTAGTTTTATTAATCTGGATGTTTTGATTCACGGTTGAATCAGAATTTGACAGTAAAGGGGGCTTGTATAAACACACAGAGAACTATGCCACGCGTCAGAAAAGAAGGTTCTGATTGGTGAACAAAAGCAAATGTGTCGTGTGATTACATTATGTGTCTAGAGCAAATGTTTAAGATTATATTACTTGTAAAATACTACTGATCACAGGATGAATATCAAGTAATTAACATTGTCATTTCACAGATTGATTACATTGGGCTGACATTATTATTGGTAATATTGTTGTTTGATTATTTTATTAAAAAAAGAAGAGAGTTCTCTGTATTCAGTCTTGTGCTGTAGAGGGAGGCAAACAGTTGAGAAAGAGCAGAGTGCATGAAAGACCTTGATTCAGTATCTGTTAGATTAGCTGGGGAGACTGGAGTCTCCTGGCTTAGGCAGACGCAAACAGAGCAGGACATTTAGGTCAAAAACAGGTCATTTCATTCATTTCATTACGCTACACACACACACACACACACACACACACACACACACACACACACACACACACACATATATATATATATATATATATATATATATATATATATATATATATATATACATATATACATATATGTATATATCTGAGATTAAAGATCTTCCATCTTTCTCACTCAGTTCCTCATCTGAGATTAAAGATCTTCCATCGTCATCCTCACTCAGTTCCTCATCTGAGATTAAAGAACTTCCATCGTCATCCTCAATAAGTTCCTCATCTGAGATTAAAGATCTTCCATCTTTCTCACTCAGTTCCTCATCTGAGATTAAAGATCTTCCATCGTCATCCTCACTCAGTTCCTCATCTGAGATTAAAGATCTTCCATCTTTCTCACTCAGTTCCTCATCTGAGATTAAAGAACTTCCATCGTCATCCTCACTCAGTTCCTCATCTGATATTAAAGATCTTCCATCTTTCTCACTCAGTTCCTCATCTGAGATTAAAGATCTTCCAACTTTCTCACTCAGTTCCTCATCTGAGATTAAAGATCTTCCATCTTTCTCACTCAGTTCCTCATCTGAGATTAAAGATCTTCCATCGTCATCCTCACTCAGTTCCTCATCTGAGATTAAAGATCTTCCATCGTCATCCTCAATAAGTTCCTCATCTGAGATTAAAGATCTTCCATCTTTCTCACTCAGTTCCTCATCTGAGATTAAAGATCTTCCATCTTTCTCACTCAGTTCCTCATCTGAGATTAAAGATCTTCCATCGTCATCCTCACTAAGTTCCTCATCTGAGATTAAAGATCTTCCATCTTTTGTTGTAGTTTATTAACTCACAGCTTGATGACCTGTGTCATTGCTGTAGTTTATTAACTTACAGCTTGATGACTCGTGTCATTGCTGTAGTTTATTAACTTAACCTTTCCTTCCTTTAGCATTAATGACAAGTCAGCTCTGGTCATGTTATATCACAAATCAGAAATCTTATAGTAGCAACTTGCTCTTTCTGGTGAGGCACGAGCCGGTAGATGGCAGTAATGCACCTGAGCTGTTTACCAACCGTCATAGAAGAAGGAGACCACAGCACTGCGCATGCGCTACTCTGGTTCTCCACGGAGTTGCTGGAGCAACGTTCTGGTAGGTGTCTGGGTGGATTTAGGTGTGTGTTAGTGTTTCTACAGGCGGTGTGAGAGAACCAACAGCAGCTTTAAGTGTTGGACTGAGGCTGGGACTCAGGTTGGACTCCTCTAGACTCTGTTTACCGCTCTTAGTCGTGCTCACTAGTGATGCTGGACACCAGAGACACCTCCAGTCCCCGGTGGGTTCGGGTCAGGGTCATCCGTGGGCTGTGTCCGAATCCAGAGGAAGGATGCTTGTGAGTACGGGTCATCGCCTCTAAAACCGGAAGTCAGCGGCTCTGAATTCGGACAGTACTAGCCTCGTTTTTATTCCCGCCCCCAGGTCCAGTTACCTAGCTACCTTGACGGCGGCAAACAGGCTAACAAGCTAGTAGCGACGTTGAAAATGGATCCACAGCAATATTTCATTTTATTTGTGATTTTTGAGGAGCTGCGACGGCTCAATAAACGTCACCGGTATTTAAAGTTTAAAAATCATTTAGTCCTGTTTTCTGCTAGAGTTACAAGTATTATACTCATGATCTCCTTTTTTGCATATATCTGAATGTGTCACAAATCCCACACTGTGTTTTATTTGATCTGCTGTTATAGTAGAATAATCTAGAACAGGGCTGAACAGTGTGGCTGTTGTAGTTTTTGAGCTAGAGCAGATTGAAGATGGTCAGAGTAGAGAAAAATTGGGTGTATTGGCCCTTTAGCCGCGTCCCGAATCGGAAGTTGGAATCGGAAGCTAACTTCAGCCTCGATAATAATAATATAGAGAAACAGTCATTTTAAGCAGCTACTTTATACAAGTCAGTGTAGGTTCTGGTCAGAGCGGGTCAGTTCAGGTGCAAACAACACCGGGTCATGTGACTGGAACCAAGCAGCTGGAGTGGGCGGGTCTACGATTGTTGTTCATGAGTCCGACAGCAGAGGGGAAGAAGCGGTTCTTGTGGTGAGAGGTTCTGGTGTGACTGTACCTGAGCCTCCTGCCAGATGGGAGCGAGTTGAGGAGACTGTGTCCAGGGTGAGACGGGTCAGCTCTGATCCGACCTGCATGCCTCAGTGACCTGGAGGTGTACAGGTCCTGTATGGAGGGGAGTTAGCAGCCAGTGACCTTCTCAGCAGAGCGTGCAACACTAACCCTAACCCTTGCTTCTTCTTCTTGTGGTTTAGGCACTGACGTGCTTCTCTGTTATTCAGTAAATAAGCTGCAGATCACAAACGGACACAGCTGTTATTACCCACAGGAAATGCAGGCTGAAGGTATTTTTGCATCATCACTCTGGCGCCCGTCCAGCCTGCCAGCCCTCCAGCCTGGCGCCCCTCCATTCTGCCAGCCCTCCAGCCTAGCGCCCCTCCAGCCTTGTGCCCCTCCAGCCTGACGCCCCTCCAGCCTGGCACCCCTCCAGCCTGGCGCCCCTCCAGCCTTCCAGCCCTCCAGCCTGGCGCCCCTCCAGCCTAGCGCCCCTCCAGCCTTGCGGCCCTCCAGCCTGGCGCCCCTCCAGTCTGGCGCCCCTCCAGCCTTGCGGCCCTCCAGCCTAGCGCCCCTCCAGTCTGGCGCCCCTCCAGCCTTGCGCCCCTCCAGCCTTGCGGCCCTCCAGCCTGACGCCCCTCCAGTCTGGTGCCCCTCCAGCCTAGCGCCCCTCCAGCCTAGCGCCCCTCCAGCCTGGCGCCCCTCCAGCCTTGCGGCCCTCCAGCCTGACGCCCCTCCAGCCTGACGCCCCTCCAGCCTGACGCCCCTCCAGCCTGGCACCCCTCCAGTCTGGCGCCCCTCCAGCCTGACGCCCCTCCAGCCTGGCACCCCTCCAGTCTGGCGCCCCTCCAGCCTGACGCCCCTCCAGCCTGGTGCCCCTCAGGAAACGTGGGTTTAGAGGTGGCAAGCACATGAAGAGGTGGAGGAGAATGAGACAAATTTGTCTGTTAAAAAGTCTCTTATATACAAAAAACGCAGTATAAATACAGAACAGCGCGACGCCCTCTGCTGTCCTGCCGGGGAATTGCTTTGCAACACTCCCCAGGAGACGGAGAAGTTTGAGAGCAAAACATCTCCGTCTGTGCGTGTCTCTCCCTGTTGGAGCTGATGGAGAAGCATGAATTAGGCTTAAGGGAGGAGCAGGCGCTGTTTGGGTCAGCCTCTCCACACCCTACGCTCTGAGTTTGCGCTCATGCCCCCAGGGCATCGTTTTATGTATCCTTTAAGCCTGCCGCACACGAGAGCAATCGGCTGAGCTAACGGTCATTCGAGGCTGATTGCTCTCATGTGCGGCAGGCTTTAGGAAAACAAATTGCTGCTCGAACTCTTTAGTCCCTTCTGTTATTAAACTGTTACATCTGGAAGGAGGTGTCTAAGGAACATGGACCCAGGGTGGTGGATATTCAGCACTAGAGCCTCTACTTCTGTTGTAGTGCTGCTAGTCATACACATGATTGACTGTTTGTACAATGTTGTTTTCGTGGTACGCTACAAATGAAAAGTTTCCTGAATCTGAGTCATTTTAACATCGCAGGCTGTTAGAAGCTCCTCTTTGGCTGATCAGAACCAAAGCGTTGGATCTTTAATCTCCTGCGTTGTTCTGAAGCAGCATCTTAATCAGCTCTCCTGCTTTGTTTCTATTGCAGCTGTTAGCTAAACACGGCTAAAGAAAACCTGCTACCACTTCAGGATCATCCATCAGCTGGGACTGCTTCATCAGCATGGACACAGGTACTGGTGTGTGTGTGTGTGTGTGTGTGTGTGTGTGTGTGTGTGTGTGTGTGTGTGTGTGTGTGTGTGTGCGTGCGTGCGTGCGTGCGTGCGTGCGTGTGTGTGTGTGTGTGTGTGTGCATGCTGTCTTCTCAATCCCCAGTGAGTTGTGGAGGATGGCTGCTTATAAGATGCGATAAGAACAACTTTATTTACCCCGAGGGAAGTTCTTGTGTCATGTACATGCTCAAAGCAGTCGGAGAGACAAAGGAACAGGTGAAATAGAAATATGGTATGCATTATATACATTAAAAAATGATCTACAGTAGTACCATGTAGGATAGTGCAAAACAAACAATCGCATATCTCAATACTTAAATACACGACTGCATCCTTGTGAATAAGTAATTAAGCCGTCGGTGCAGGCGATTCACAAAAGAGATTAAAGTATCGTGTAATAGAATATGGGTTTGTAGCAGCGTATGATATGATGGGGGATTAAAACCAGGGTGTCCGCGGGGTTTTAAAAAGTATTAAAAAGTGATAAATACAAATAGTCAAATTTAAGGCCATTAAAAGTGTTAAATTTGGTCTCAGAGGTATTATTTTTTACAAATTAGGTATTATTTTTTTCAGACTATCAGGTGTCGTATTCTGAACATCGACATAGAAATATATTCCGAATGAAATGTTTTGAACGATTATACAAACAAATCAAGCCGATTATTTGCTCCTCCCGCTTGCGCTGCCCTGAGTTGCAAATGAAGCGCTCCTCCCACAGTGTTGCCAACTTGGCGACTTTGACGTTATTTCTAGCAGCTTTTCAGATCCCCTTCTTGACTTTTTAAATCTAAAAGTACCTAGCGAACATCTCAGAAACATCTCTGGTAACCCTTAGCTACTTTCTGGATAACTGTCGTCGACATTTCCTGCAGGTTAGCTAAACACTCCGCCTGCGCTCCGGACCGTTCTTCAGGACATTATAGGAAAGGGAATGATGTAGTGATGCGTTGGTCGCTAAAGAAACAGCTCTCGGAGCCGGCTCCATGTTGGATTAACCAGAGTGAGCGACACACACCGTACCTGCGGACTCCTGAGTGGATAAAAACAGCTAAATGTGCGCGTGCGGCGCGCTAAACACGTGCAGCTTGCCCCTGATTGCTGTGAGACCGGGTTGGGGGGTGGGGGTGCAGCTGTGGTTGAGACAATTATTACATTAACTGATCGACCTGTAAATAGTTTATAAATAAGGTAGAAATAAGTTCCTCACGCTGATAACTAATCTCTCTGAGGACACGGTGCTAGTGCACGCTCCTACAGCACCTTGACACGACTAAATAAATGTTATGCAACATTTTGTGAACATCAATTTATTTGCATGTATTTGTTATAAATGCCACTGTATAATTCTTGCTGTCAGTATTTGCAAGATATTGGTATTTGGGTCTGTACTAGTAAACCAAGGTCTATAGCCCTTGGATCATAAACTATGAGCTATAAGTATATTGGTCTTTTTATACTGGGAACCAGGAGTTATTTTAGTGATCATCTTGTTTCCTATTTATTTTTGTCCTGATTGTGCCCTGAGCAGTTTTATGACTAAATAAAAAAATCTACATAAATTGAAAAATCGTCTTAAATAATCGAGATCTCAATTTCAGTCATAATAATCGTGAATATTGTTAATGCCATAATCGAGCAGCCCTACTTTAGCATATCCGGTCACATAATGATGACGTCATATTCAGTGGTCGTTCTGCATCATTTCAGGCCTCGTGGTCAACTGTCTGAACCGCTGAACAGAAGTGCCTGGCTTATTTTCTAAGTAAAATAAATACGTTGTCAACATCAGTGAGTCTCTAAGTCTATTCTTTTTGTATGTTATATATGTTAAAATATGTGTAAATAGGTCGCTGATTAACACTTGCAATTTAGTGTTGTGATGGTTTTAAAAAAATTCTGAAGGTAGTAAAAAAAAGTATTAAAAAGTAGTAAATTTTACTTAAGGATTGCTGTATATACCCTGAAAACATATTTACAATCAGAACTCTTGGGTAATATTGCACAGTCTGGGAGGGAACAGAGTAACCTAGGTAACAGTATTAGGAGAATCACCTACAGGGTGAGGAAGAGTTAACTCATTCACTACCAGAAGTTCCTGGTCAGTAAAGCCCCTTGCTGCCAGCAATTTTCAAAATTTTGATTTAAAATTACGACTTTTGTCGTCAATGGCAGTGAATGAGTTAAACAGTCCTATTGCCACCGGTACGAAGGATTTCCTGTGGCGGTCAGTTCTGCATTTCGGGGCAATGAGTCTTTTGCTGCGTGTGCTTCGGTGGTCCATCATGTGGGCGTGCATGGGGTGGGAGGGGTTCATGATAGAGAGAAGCTTTTTTAGCATTCTCCTCTCAGACACCTCCTCCAGGTTCTCCAGTCTAACAACCAGGACAGACGCAGCCCTTCTAATCAGCTTGTTCAGCCGGTTGGCATCAGCTATCTTCACCCCACTGCCCCAGCACACAGCTGCAAAGAACACAACGCTCTCCAACACCGAGTGGTAGAACATGGTCAGCATTTTCCTCCCAACATTGAAGGACCCGAGCCGCCTCAGAAGAAAAAGCCAACTCTGCCCTTTTTTGAAGATAGCATTGGCGTTCTTAGTCCAGTTCAGTTTACAGTCCAAGTGAACCCCCAGGTACCGGTAGTCCTCAACGATCTCAACGTCAGCCCCTCTGATGGTGACAGGAGTAGGAGGTGGGGCCTGCTTCCTAAAGTCCATAATCAGGTCCTTAGTCTTTGTGATGTTAAGTTGTAGGTGGTTTTGCTCACACCACTCCACAAAGCTGTCCACCACACTCCTGTACTCCACCTCCTGACCATCCCTGATGCAGCCCACGATGGCAGAGTCATCAGAGAATTTCTGCAGATGGCAAGACTGAGGCCCTGTCCACACGTAGCCGGGGATCTGCCAAAACGTAGATATTTTTCTACGTTTTGGCCTGTCATCCACACGAAAACGGAGTTTTTTCACACGAAAACGGATCTTTTTAAAAACTCCGGCCAAAGTGAAGATCTGCGTTTTCTCCGTTTTGGGTGTCTGCGTGTGGACGGACAAAACCGGAGTTTTAAGGTCCGCAACGTCACTTTCCGCGACAAAAAAATGCTGACATCACGTGTGCGACCTGTGTTTACACTAGCCGACAGCATGGATGCCCTCAGAGCTGCGCTCGCTTTATCAATTGTCCAAGCGCTTTCTGCTTGTTTGGTTTTGCAAGCGGAATTACTGCTCCTTGTGGAAGACCACAGACGAAGGACGAGGTTAAGAACGGGGGAAGTACTGCCGCCTACAGGTCTGGCATGTCCTTAACAACGTATTTATCCGGGTACGTGTGGACAGAGTTTGTTTTTAAAACGTGGTGGTGTGGATGCAAGTTTTTGGAGGGGCGTTTTTAAAAACCCCGGCTACGTGTGGACTAGGCCTTAGACTTGTACCTGAAGTCAGATGTGTTAAGGGTGAAGAGGAAGGGTGATAGGACTGTCCCCTGCGGCGCCCCCGTGCTGCTCAGGATGTCGGACATGCTGACGTTGGATGTGCTACTACTAGTTTACCCATTTAATTATAGATCCACTAGGATAAATACTATAAAGTTTATCTCTCACCAAATAGAATATTTACTAAGACATTACAATATAACTATAGACACATTATTTTGTGTGTGTGTGTGTGTGTGTGTGTGTGCGTGCGAGTGCGTGCGTGCGTGCGTGCGTGTGTGTGTGTGTGTGTGTCTGCTCTGTCTTCTCCATCCCCAGTGAGTCGTGGAGGATGGCTGCTTATACTGAGCCAGGATTCTCTGGAGGTTTCTTCCTGTTAAAAGAGAGTTTTCCTCTCCACTGTCGCTGCATGCTTGCTTAGTATGAGGATTGCTGTATAGTCACTAGGTATGGGTACCTTTGACATTTGAATCGATTCGGTACTAATTCCCGGTACCTACGAGTCGATACCGGTACTTAACGTTACCAATTTTCGATACTTTTGAGTGTTTATTATTTTAATTCTCTTTTATAATTAAATATATATTTTTCTCAATTTATGACCATATTTGATAAATATCACGATAAATAACATACAACTGTTTGTATTTTAACATCGTCCTTGTAGTTTTATAAGCTGATAATTAAACTGAGGCAAACATCTTTACTGTGAACTAAATTTACTGTGTATCTTCATTCCTTTTGCCGTCCTTTTTCATTTGATTTTTTCTACTGGGAAGTTAGAATTTCCGAGGAGAAAGCGAACGCACCATTAGATGATAACGGTGGCAATGGAAGCTAACATACCAAGCTAACGTTATCTTTAACAGTTTATTTAGCTGCTGGAGCAGATTAAAACGATGATGCCTCACACTTAGATTGTTGTCACTGGTTTTACCTTCACCCAATCACCCGTCACATTTAGTAAAGTAAAGCCAAACTTTAGAGCGCGTTCATGTTCATCTAGTCGGAAAATGGGAGTTCTGAGGAGAAAGCGAACGCACCATTAGCGAAACAGAAGCTAACATATCAAGGTAACGTTATCTTAAACATTTTATTTACCTACCGGAGCAGATTAAGATGAGGATGTCTCACTTAGATCATTGTCTGTCGCTGGTTTCATCATCACCCAGTTACCCATCACATTTAGTGAAGTGGACCAAGCTTTAGCGTGCGTTCTTTCTACCCATGCTGCTCTGTTTACAACTCGCTCGCAGGGACCGACGACATAACGCTCTTGCGCATGCGCAGCTGTCTTGGCAAGTTCTCGTTATGAAGGACGGGTACCGAAACGAGGCACCGTTTGAAATGACGTGAATCGGTGCTCGGTCGGTAGTATGGAATTCGGTCGGTACCTTAAAAAGTACCGAATTCGGTACTCATCCCTAATAGTCACTGACACTAGTCAGTGACTTGATGCAATTTGCTGGGTTCCTTATATACGAAACATTATTTCTGATTGGCTTAATGAACTGACCTTAATTGGAAAGTTTATTATGTAGAGTGCCTTGAGATGACTCTTGTCGTGATTTGGCGCTTTATAAATAAACTTGAATTGAATTGAATTGCTGTGGTCTACTTGTTAAATAGTCCATAATCCAACCTACAAGTGGGGCGTCCACCTGCATTTCCGTGAGCTTGTTGCCCAGGAGTGATGGTCTGATTATGTTAAAGGCACTAGAGAAGTCGAAGAACATGACCCTCACAGTGCTCCCAGCAATGTCCAGATGAGAGTATGCCTGGTCCAGCAGGTAGATGAGGGCATCCTCCACACCGATACGAGGTTGATAAGCAACCTGCACGGGATCCAACCATGGCTCCACCAGCAGTCGCAGATGTTTTAGGATGAGTCTCTCCAGCGTCTTCATGACATGTGAGGTCAGAGCCACTGGCCTGTAGTCACTGGGGGTCGACGGGTTGATCTTTTTAGGGACAGGAACCAGGTAGGATGTCTTCCAGACTTCTGTCTTCCAGAGTGATGGAACTCTCTGCATCTCCAGGCTCATCTTGAAGATCCGTTGTAAAACTCCAGACAGCTGGGAAGCACAACACGTAAGGGCCCTTGGACTGACACCATCAGGACCAGCAGCTTATACTGAGCCAGGATCCTCTGGAGGTTTCTTCCTGTTAAAAGGGAGTTTTCCTCTCCTCTGTCGCTGCATGCTTGCTTAGTATGAGGACCGCTGTAAAGACTCTGACACTAGTCAGTGACTCGATGTGACCTGCTGGGTTCCTTATATAGGAAACTTTTTACTGATCGGCTTAATGACCTGACCTGTACTGGAATGTTTACTGTGTGAAGGTCCTTGAGGCGACTCTGGTCCTGATTTTGCGCTTTATAAATAAACTTGAATGTCTACAACACTATTAGATACTCATTTATACAGTTTATCAGCCTAAAGAATAGTTGGTTTGGGTGTTACTTGCTCTTTAAAGCAATAATATTACTGTTAAATGTGTGAATAGAAAGTTACAGCATTCAGTAATTCACTGTGTTTCTGTTTTTCCTACAGGTGTTAAAATAATGGCGCTGGTTAAAGAAGAAGCTCATGAAGAACAGAGTGCTGGTGAGGACCAGCAGGAACCAGAACACCTTCACATAAAGGAGGAACAGGACGACCTCTGGACCAGTCTGGAGAGAGAGCAGCTACATTTGAAGGAGACTGATGCTGCCAGATTTCTATTCACTGCTGGTTCTATAAAGAGTGAGGATGATGAAGAAAAACCTCTCATCTCACAGCTTCATCAGCAGCAAACAGAAGACCGAGAAGTTCCAGCGAGCAGCTCAGCTGACCATGTGACAGCAGAAATGACAAGTCATTTAGCAACAAGGTCTTCAGGCTGTTGTGTTAGTAAGGAATGTGTTATAGTGAAGCAACATGCAGACTCATGTAGGGAAGTCCAGAAAAAGACTAAAACGTTTAGTTGTGATCACTGTGGAAAAGAATTTATGGTTAAATCAAGTTTAAACAGTCACATGAGAATCCACACAGGACAGAAACCTTTTGCCTGTGAGCTATGTGGACAAAGATTTAACCAACGAACAAATTTAAGCAGACACATAAGAATCCACACAGGACAGAAGCCTTTTGCCTGTGAGCTGTGTGGACAAAAATTTAACCAACGAACAAATTTAAGCAGACACATAAGAATCCACACAGGACAGAAGCCTTTTGCCTGTGAGCTGTGTGGACAAAAATTAAGTCTTAAGACACATTTAAAAGATCACATGAGAATCCACACAGGACAGAAGCCTTTTGCCTGTGAGCTGTGTGGAAAAAGATTTAACCGAAAGACGACTTTAAACAGTCACATGATAATCCACTCAGGACAGAAGCCTTTTGCCTGTGAGCTGTGTGGGCAAAAATTT